CTTTATTGTTAAATGATTGATAGATTCAATTTTAATCGATAATTAATAAAAGGGATGTTTCCATTGAATATCGTTTTCATTTTCAAATCGATTGAATTTAGCAACTAATGATTTTGATTTGAATTTCTTTAAACTAATATTTCAGTGAATCCGTGGACAGCGATTTTTTAGCGAGTTGATTTTCTACAGGATGGAGTTACTGGCTCTATCCATACCCAATCTTCCTTCTTTATCCAGGTTTGGGATATGCACTAACTGTAAAAGGGTTCCAGACGGAGTGGAGCAGTGGATATTTTATCGAAATTCGAAAGTAAGGTGTAATTGGAAAAAACTAAAGTTCGACAAGCATTTACTCAATGTTTACGCCATAGATTATTTTTTGAATGTATTAAATCTAACTATGTAAGTGAACATCATTGAAATAGCTTAACGTAAAAGAAAAGCAAATTTTAATTTTGCACGATTCTTCATTTTATTTTTTTCCGATTTTTTAAAATATTATTTTTAAACAATATAAAACCTCACAACAATCACTTATGTATATTATTTGGTATTGTGTAACAATATGTCAAGTAGAAATGGTTAAAACATTAAGGCTACGTTTTTGCCGGAAAAAATACTATTCATGGTTCAATTGATTTTACTAGTATTGACCAAATCAAACAGATTAATAATTACAAGAGTTTAAGTCACTCATGATAGTGATTGATTATTATTGTACCAGCCTATTTATAACTGAACGAACTATGTGATATGAAAGAAATTCGCTTGTTTTTCTCATTTGTTACAAATTAAAACAAGCCATAACTCAATAAATCTTTTTTTTGTCTGACAAAATAATCCACAACTTTATAATGATGATTATACTATGATAATATATTGTAGATGATGAAGTGTTTTTTTTGTTAAATTTCCAGTTCATTTCTTGTATTCATCAGAGATTATTGACTTTTTTCGTATTCTATTCATATTGTACAGTTTAAATGTTGATAATTGAACATTTATTGATTTTTTAAGAACTAAAACGAATTAGGATAAATTTAAACAAATTAATGATAAATATTGAAGAAACAAACCAACTGTAATCATTTAAAAAATAATTATAATAATGAATTGATCATTGTGTTAACTGTAGTTTTATTCAATGAATACTTAATAATTGTTACAATTTACAAGTGACTGATCATTGAGCATGTTCATCTGGTGTTTTTTTGTGTTGATCGGATTCTGTTGATCAATTTGAACTACTGCCATTAGTCTAAATGATTTGATTTAGTGTATACTATGCTGAGATGTTAGGTGGTTTTGAAGGTATTCGAGAAAAATCGTACTAGTTTACGCCACCAATCTTTTAGATTAGTAGCCACATGACAAATCGACCAATAGAATTCTATCAACAACGAATGACTAGATAAGCATAACATCAGGCAATGATTAATCGGAAGTAAATTTTATTGGCTCTACGGGAGATCAGCCGCCATCAGAATAGCTCAGTGTTGGCGTAGGATATTGAGGGGTCGTCTCCTTTGCTTCAAGATTACTCGTATACATTGTTGGTGAGAGTGCTTACCAACAAGAAACCTAATTTCAGAGTATCTTGTAGATTATATCTAACTTCCGAATAAGTGGTTACAATGGAACTAACATGGAAATGATAGACACATAATCGTATGTTGGTTGAAGATGAAATAATCTGCACCGACACAATCAAAGAGAGAGCGAGAGAAAATAACAAAATGAGAAATTTAAAAGTGGAATATGTTAGGTGTAGTAAAAAGTTAAACGCGAAAAATATAAACTGTAATGAATAGATAAAAACTAAGGAATAAGTAGTAAGAAGTAACACTAAACTAAAGAATTAGAGTAAAGCAGGGTATAAACACAGCTACGCTACTGCAATTGATTTTTCTTGATATTATACAGTAATGCTGATTATAGATGAGATCAATAAACAGGTGTTGACCAGGAACTTTATGTGTATTGAATCTCATGAATCCATGAAGTATTATTATCCTTCTTCTTTCTGATTTGTTTACAATTTACACATGTAATAGATGTCCTAACTATCTCAGTGGATCAAGCTTTTGGACTGATCAGTAGAGTTGATTTTCGACTATATGGGGTTGCTAAGCTTATGCCCAATCCTACTGCTTCTTCCGGGCTTGGGATCGCATTAACAGTTGTCTAATCAAGATACTCTTCATCCATTCGCCAGACACCATCAGTAAAAACCTGCTGTGGCATAAAACAAGCCAGCCTTCAGCTGAGAGAGAAACTAGGAAAAAGCTCTGGAAGTGGATAGGACACATATTGAGAAAATCATCCAGCTGTGCCACAAGACAAGACCTCAGTTGGAGTCCTCAATACCAAAGGAATAGAGGTAGACCAAGAACACATTACGTTGAGAATTGGAAGCAGACATGAAGAGGATGAACAACAGTTAGGTAGAACCGAAAAGGAACACCGAGGACAGATTAATATATATCAGTCAGTAACAAAGTAGACGTTTGCACGTAAGTACATCAGTTCAAGTTGCCATTCCATATTAGGACAGAGATGCAATCGTCGATTGAAATTCATTGTGGCAGAGGTAGTACAAATATGATCAGTAATCGGAAAGATATTATGCAAGTAGTACAATCCAATGAAATAAACCTAAAAAGAGAAAGATGAAGGTCACGAGAAATTCAAAAGATCAGAATTTGCGAGAATGCAAAGAATAGAATATATATATATATATATATATATATATATATATATATACTTTCATTTTCTTCGTCAACGGAGAAATCTATCTCTGCCTATATAAATGTTTAGAATCTTAATTTTCCATTTGACATATCTATGTGACTAAGTAAGGATAAAAATGAATGAATTGACACAATTCAATTTTTGTATAAATCAATTTTATAAAACCTGCCTTTCATTTTTCACAAATCATTAACATCAAGACTAGTTACAATCATTGAAAATGAACTATGTGAAGCCTTTAGACTAAATGCAAATTATTCATACAAACTGTAGATTAATTTAGCTCAGATTGCTATTCACATTCAAGTTTATTTTTTTTTTTGGAAGATTTTGCACCTGCATTTAATTTTTTTTTAAGAAAAAACAAAATTCTTTAATCTGATTTCAGAAAAGTGCTTTTCGTTAATTTTCATTAAAATATGTCAATTAAATAGAGAGAGAGAGAGAGAAAGAAAGTTGATATTTACACTATTTTATTCAATCAGTAGTTGGTAATTTGATATGATGAATACGTCTATGGTCTAGTGATAAGTGATTATTTATATTCCCATCTCCTTCTATGTATTTATTTTTTTATTCAAGTAATTGTCTACTACTACTGTATACCTTGCTTTGCTTTTCATTTGATAAAAAGATTCTAAATTATCATTTTTTTTTAAAAAAAAAATAGAACTAATCTAATCTCTGTCATAATTAATTTCTTATTTTTTTTAAATGATATTCATTTTTACGCATTTTTTTCACTGCATCTATTACTTTATATTTTTTAAAATTTACTTTTGATTTTTTTTAAAAAAATAAGTCTCACAATAAAATCTTCAATATGATTTTTGATTTGATGACAATTAGTGAAGAGACCTATATCAATATTTTCAGTTAGAGTATTGAAGATTTGTGTTTTTACACATTTGAAATAATCAATCAATCATTGTTAGACCATCATTAGAAACCTGGAAGCACTGGACGGCCGTTTCGTCCTGGTATGGGACTCGTCAACAGTACGTATCCACGACTCCTGCATCTCGCAGGATTCGAACTTAGGACTTTCGGTATTGTGCTCGAACGCCTAACCACTGAACCACTGGGCCGGCATACAACGGTGTTAATGTCTACCTCTGATTGATTTACGGATTTTGCGCGACCTCACCCATTTGTCTTTGGTAGTTACTGCATACAACCGACAGGGTTGAACTCCATTTGTCACGTCTTATCAACTAGAACTCCGATAATTTCCTGACGAAGTTAGTCACTAGTGAGCACTGTTACGATAATTTCGGGCAGAGTTTGAAAGGTTTGTGTTTGTACACATTTGAAATCATCAATTTTGGTTAGCTGAAGAAATTTGAATAAATCTCGTCACATGATACTGTTTGGTAAATACAGTTTGAAAGTTGTCTTTATTTGGAGACAGTTTCATACATTTTTGGTCAGTCTAGCCTAAGTAAATATTATAAGCCAGAGAATAATACACAGTCATTTTATCCTCGATTGGCACAATTCAGAGTTTTTCATATGATTGAACACGAGATGTAAACTCAGTGTTTAGATCTCTTGGCTAGTATGATATAACATCAGTTATTCTGCATTTGAGCTACTGGTTCATATTTGAAACTAGTTTTTTTGCAAAACAGTTAGAATAGTGTTCAGTGTTACTTTTGACTTGATTGGCTGCATGGTTTACTCACGAGTACAGTACTAAATAGTATTTGCTAAAAAGGTTAGGCAATGTATGCTTAGTAGAGTCTTGAGTTGGACCAATTTACGACTTCTACTAAAAACAAAAATTCTAAAACTGGATAGTTAAAACATGCTAATTTTATTCACAGCCTGTGTTAATTTTCATACAACTTTCTCCAGAACAACCTAACCTACATTTTCCCATTTTTTTCAGGTGATTATATGGTTCCTTGTTTTTAGCATAAAAAACTTATATTAAGAACATTTATATAAAAGTAATATCTTGTTATTACAAATTTCCATTTACTCCCGGCGGGAAATTGTCTCTAGACCACCCCTATTGTGCTGGTAAATAATTGGTCAGTAATAAGCCAATCACTTTTCACCTCACGTGGGTTGGAGAATACGTGGTCATTTTTTTAATTGGTTGTTTTTGTTCCATGCGATAACCAAAAGTTATCCTTCCTACCTCCCGACATCTGTCACAAATGCGATTGGCTTATCAGTTCGCATGCGCAAAAAAGACTATAAATTGCGATTCATGAATCGTTTTAACTATTGTCATGATTGCAATGATTCCTCAAACTGTAATACAAAGAACTTATGCACGTGTACCGCCTATTTATACTTCTAATTGTCAAAAGTTGCAAACACCAACAACAGGATCTAATTTGGCTTTACAAAACACTGTTTCTTCTAAAAGAGGAAGACGATCAAATGTCCCGCCTGAAATTAGAGAACAAACTCGTCGGGTGAGTTTTTTAATGGTCATATAATTATTCTGCTTAATAGTATTAAAAAATAATTTACTCTCTGTTCGATGACGTAAGAATACTTATTTTTTCATTCTGTGCAAATGACTTACTTGAACGTGATCCATCTTACTAGTTTCTAATAGACATTAGGTCACTGGAAATAGAGCATAGATTCTATCTGCCTAGTCTAAACTTTTAGTGAAATTGCGTAAATATGGAAAAATTTCCATAACTTCTTACAATAAAAGTTTAACTGTATTGATTGAATGCGAATAAGATTTGCACTAGATGAAAAATGAGATTATTATTATTATTATTATTAGTAGTAGTAGTAGTAGTAATAGTAGTATTAGTAGTAATATAAATACAGTATAAAGAATAAAACCGGTTATTTTACAAGATATAATGATGAGTGCTTTTTACTATATTTTGGTTAATGCTTCTTAACTCTGAAAGATCCAATTTTAAGGAACACTGGGATATTGTTTAAATGTTGTTGTAGTAGTTATTATCACAATGATATTGTATCCTGTAAATTCAATAATAATTCCAATCGGTTTATGTGAACTGTTAGTCATTTTATTCAACTCAATTACATTCATAATTAATCACTTCCTTTCTATTACTTTCTTTTATATTAACAGTTGAAGAAACAAAATATGGAACGTAGACGACGTGCATGTATCTCGGATAAAATGAATGCATTGCATAATTTAGCTATGAATCTAATTGGAATTGATGTAAGTATTCCAGGGTATTTGTAACTTTTATCTAAAAAAAATATTGAATTTTTCTTTTTTTTTTTTTCAAACAGAATAAACTCTCCTTATTTGATTCAACTTGTGTTAAATTGAATTAAAAACATAATTGTTAATGATATTCTGAGAATAAGCAAATCAATCAAATCCTTATCTAATATTTATGATTTTATGACAGTTGTATTTAATTGAAATCATGAATCGATCAATGTTAGAGCACCGTTAAAAAGCTAGCAGCATTGAACGGCCGTTTTATCCTAGTTTGTGACTTAACAGCAGTGCGTATTAATGAGCCCAACTCGCGGGAATCCAACTTAGTAGCTTCCGTCTTGTGCACATTGGTCGATTCCTTGATTTCAATGAAATTCAACAATCTCTGCAATCTCCTATAATGAAAGTTGTATTTTATGCTAATCATAGAGAATAATTAACCGATTTTTAATAGTTCAGATTATTGTAGTGTTGTACAAGTAATAATTGTATAGATCCCTATGATACATATGCAATTTTCGCTAGTGCGGTTTTTCAACATTGATCATTAATTCTTGAAAAAAATTTTATTCCTCACCTCAGTTTATTAATAGTTTAATTATTATTCACTAGCATCTCTCGCGATATAGTTTTCGATTACGAAAAAATGATTCAGTATATATTTCTATATATTTTTGTACAATTTATTTAGTGTTATTGATTAATATAAACAGATTAAACAAATTAAGCGAACATTTATTTTGGGGCAGAGTTTTGAAGGTTTGCGTTTTTACACATTTGAAATCAATCAGTCATTGTTAGACCACCACTAGAAACCTGGAAGCACTGGACGGCCGTTTCGTCCTGGTATGGGACTCCTCAGCAGTGCTCATCCACAACTCCTGCTCCTTGCAGGATTCGAACCCAGGACTTTCGGTATTGTGCTCGAACGCCTAACCACTGGGCCGGCATCCAACGGTTTTAATGTCTGACTCTGCTTGATCTAGGGATTTTGTAAGTAGTTTGTGTTTCTTTTATCATTTAAGTACTTAAAGTAAGAAAGTTTGATTCATTTATTAGGATCATTTTTTCATATTATACCAGTATGAATTACGTTTGGTTAGAATGTGATGTAAGCTGAACACAATGATTCGGTAGTTTTTCACATATCCTCTTTAGTATAACGAAATATTTTTATTTTCTTAACAAATTACAAGATTATAAGTGATATCATCATGTGCCATCTTTCGAAAAACATTTATTGCCTAAGATATCATCGATTAATCTATACACTTAATTACTATGGTAACTTTTCTTATAAAAAGAAATTAAAAAGATACACATGTTTTTTTTTTAATTTTTGTCATTCATCCATATTTCAGTCTAAAAATAAGCATCTGTTTTATGCTACAAACTTGACTTATTCATTCGCATACTTTTTAAAAAAAATAGAAATAACTCAAAATATGACTGAAATTGTAATTAATTCGGAACAATTGACATCTGCTTCCATTACATGTTCAATTCTGTTTATCAATTCATGTATTAGAAATAAATGTGAAAGTTAGGGGCGGCCAAAACAAAACATGACACAAATCTATGAAGTCACTGACAAGTGGACTGAGTCATGTCGGTAGGTGTCGACTACTTGTTTGGCGTCCACGAGATGATAATGATCGATGGTTAGAGACCCTGAATGACATGGTTCAAAACCGTTTTCAATGGCGCAGCTGCATTTACTCTTTGTATTCTATGAAATTCTAACCTTCTGAATTCCTCATCACCTCTATCTTTCTCTTTCTAAATTTACCTCATTGAGTTATACTTGTTAAATAGCATCTTTGAACCCTAATCTCTCCAATTACTTCTAATACTTTTAATACCTCTACTACTGTAGTGAATGAGAACACAGGTGGGGCATCCGGATTGTATTTAACGAAAATTACAGAGTTACTCAGTAAAATTGGAGAACCATATCGTAAATCGTTAATTTGCAAAATATCAGTTCATCATATCGAACTGGACTGTTCCTGTTGCAAAACATCAATCCATTGTCACTATTCATGCGTTTAATACAAATTCCATTGTGTTCTAACTCTTCCTTTCTTGATCTTCCCCCATCTTCTGCTGTCAGACATTACGTTGACACTCACGTCATATACTACTTATAAGTAGCTCGCACCGCACTACTATTGGGATTTGGATTGAAAATTATTTCTCTGTGCTAATGTGGTATGGCAGCTTGAACTAATGGACTTACGTATGAAGTTCTACGTTGTAACTGACTGACTGGCTGACTGATAATTAAATGTAACAGTATATTTTAAAATATAGAATGACGAACAAATGATATTTTGCATTTATAGAAATCAGTCTATAATTACAAAAGTTGGCTAATGGCTTACAAGCTTTCTATTAAAAGCTCATCAGTTGGATGTACGTGCCGTGTATTGTTGGTATTCATATTGAGATTCACTTGAAATGTTAATGTGTTGTAGACTGTACTTCTAAGTTCAGGGATAAATCATTTGAAATCTTTAACATACACTTTCATGAAAAAGATATATTTTTACTAAATGATCTCGTTTGTAATTAAGAATTAATGCATATTTAGTTTGTAAAATACGATCATATCTTGTTAATAAATGCATTAAGAGAGACTATATTCAGTTAAATAAAAGAAATTTAATGTACAATATAGTAGTCTTGATACCTAATGATAATACTTATTTTTCCTCATTCATTTCACATGGTTTAAGTTGGTGACAAGTGACCTAGCAACAACAACAAAAACATCGACACCAACACCCACAACCATAGTTCATTATCATATAAAAGTTATAATTATTCATCAATTATTTTGTCATTATAATCAATCTGATCAAGTGTGCTTTTATAGTCTGATATATTTAATGAAAGAAACGTTGATTATTTCTCATATGGAATAAATTAATGATGACAGATTTATATTGACTTTGTGTTTTTTTTCCATATCAATTTCTCTATATTCTCTATTGTTGTTATTTTATTTTTCTCTTTCTCTCTCTCTCCCTCTCTACATTTTATAGCCAAATGAATGTCATAAAGTGGAAAAAGCTGATATATTGAATTTGTGTCATAGTGTATTTAAAGGAATTGCTAATATTGCGAAGGATGAACCTGGTAAGTGGGTTATTATGTTTCTTCACTACTATTTTCAATGGTAAATTTAATTTTAATTTGAAATTGTGATAATTGTTTTACTAATTTGAAAGATGACTTTATCCAAGAGAAATGTGATAAGAAAGACTGAGAGAGAAACAGTTTATTCTAAACTTTCGAGTTGTGATTCATGGCATTAAATTGATCACTCAATAATCAGTCAGTGTGATCGAGGATAGTTTCCTTCTTACTCATTAACTGTATTCAACTTATACGGGTTTACATTACCAAATCTAGCTAATTCTGGATTTGACTGAAAGCTGACTTAATCGTTTATAGGATAAACACTTGCCTTGAGACTTAAAAGTCCTGGTTTCAAACTCCGTTGTGGTTATGTATGACTAATACTGATGAGTCCTATGCTTGGAATAAACGTTTGTGAAAGTTATATGGTATTAAGTGATCGGTAATATTCAAGCCTTACTATGTACTTGATAAAATCCGATCAGATATTAATTAATATTCCAGTTAATAAATTTATAATAATTATTTAAAATATACTTTTTACTTTAAACTTTATTTTCATAATAATCTTTTAATCAATATAATGTTGGTTTTTATGCAGAGATACAAACACGTTTAAGAAAATTGCGTCATAATTTAATGGGCTCATCCTCTTGCACTACTTCAATGTCACACGAATCAACAAGTAGCTTTAATGAACGAAAATGCGATAATGATAAACCTTGTTCTCAAAATAAAAAGATTCAAGAGGAGAATCAATTTCAAGAGAACAAGGAGCCTCATCTTGAACATCATCATCATCATCATCTGTACTCGAACAACACAATCTCCCTGTCCAGTACACCAACATTATTAGCAACACCAATTCCATGTGGTGATAAGAAACAACACATAGATGAAAGTAATAAAGAGAATAAAATACCAAAATTAATCATTAAAAATCCTTTATCATTTAAAAATTATCCTATGAATGATTGTAATCAATCGTCTATAATTAAAACACCTACTTCTTTATCAATGAATCCCATATATTCACACAGTATCATTCATTCACAAAATAATAATGAAACCACAACACAATGGCAATCAACACCTTTACAATATTTGAACAAATTGAATTCAACATTAAATAATTCTGATAGTGGTTTTGTGAATAACAGTAATCAATCGATAGAATTAACGCCTCATCGGAAAAAAGTACCGATTTGTAAAGAACACCATTTTAATGAACTTACTACTGATTCCACTGAGTCATCTGCATTGTTGAATTATTCAAATGGGAAAAATTTACCATCATGGTCATCATCATCATCATCATCATCGAAATTTATGTCAGAGGAACATTTATCTGCATTTAGTGTACCAGTAAGAAAACCACTTACTGTTATTACAAATCAGTCAATTCATAATCATTATCATCGAGATCAGAAATCCAGTACAATGGATAGTACAATCCCCACGTCTACATCTACATCTGAGAGTACAATAACACCGATTAGAAATATTGTTAAACCAATGTGGAGACCATATTTAGATTAGATTAATAAAGTATAAAACGATGATAAATTCTTTAATAAAATGCTTACTTCTTTTTTTCTTATCAAAACCAAAGAGAAAACAATATTTATATTGTACATAATGAATAATAATATAATCTAACTTCCAGAGCAGACATATTTTGAACAAACTATTGTAAATAAAGATATCTGTATTTATATAGATTATTGATTTTTTTAAAAATAATAGATTTTATAACAATATTATATATTATAACAATATTCTATTTATGAAAACATTTGTACAGAATGTTATTTTATTTTAAAGAATATTTTTTTCGGATTTAAATATCAAATATTTAAATAAATGGAAAATTTCGTTTCATCGTTGTAGTTTTTTTCAATATAAATTTTTGTATTTGATAATCAGGCTGGTTAAATGATTTGTAGGAATTTTAATTTCGAATTGGTTTTTAGTATGAATGTATCAGTAACTCTGTGGTCCAGAGACTAAGCATCCACCAAGCGAGACGGAAGGTCTTGGGTTCGATCCCTGCGCGCCGAGGTTATGGATACGCACCGATGATGAGTCTCATATTAGGACGAAACGGCCGTCTAGTGCTTCAAAGTCTCTGGTGGTGGTGACTGATTCATAATTTCGATGAAAATCATAGAAAAGTTTTTTTCGTAGATAGTTCTGAGACATTTTCAGTGTGTACTTACTGAGTTTGAAAGGGAGGATCAATTTTCAATGAATATTCTCACTCTCAACCAACTTGTTGTAATATGGCACAATGAAACTGTATAGAAAGCTAAATTTTTATTAAGTTAAATAATAACATTTAAAAATCATACATGTATAGATGTATACTCGGATTGATTCAAACTAGAACAAATAGGGAGTGATGTTAGTCTGTTATCTTCTTACTTGAATCCAGCTCATCGAATAATCACTGATTAATCATCACTAGGCCTTTTGAGTGAGGAGGGAATTCCGATAATAAAGATGCGCCATAGATGGTTAGTCTATGTCGCTCGAAGTCGTGTGTACTATGTTCCGATATGGTTTATAGCAGCTAGTAGGATATCCTGAACCTAGGTTTTAAGTATAATTCACTATGAAAAAAGTGAAAACGACCGTTGTTATATGGAATAGTTATTGTTTTAACGTTAGATTATGGAGTTGTGAAGATTGTTGGATTTTATTGATATCATAAACGAGTCGGAGTTAGACAACCATTGAAAACCTGAAAGGATTTTATGGCCGTTTTGTCTTAATACGGGAACCGAGCACCATTGGATCCGGTCTCAGTGATCTAGATGTTAGCTATTTGTGCAGGAGACTCAATGTTATGAGTTCAACTTCTAGTTGCAAAGTCAGGGTGTTCACTTTTGAAGAGTTCTTTGCCTAATTCTGGTCTATTCGTGTTCTCCGAAAATATGAATTCGCAGAAACAATTACTGTGTGAAACTTCAGTGAACTGTGTAAAGCAATAAATAATTGGTCTAATTATGATTACAATAACTGTAAGCTCCTAAAATAACTTTTATCGAATGGAAATATACTTCTAATAAATGTGTTAAACGTTATTAATTCTTTCGAATGTACATGAAAAAAGGACAAAATAGAAATGAGAAAGATGAGAGAAATTCAATGAAAATCTCAACGCATTTCTTTAGTTATTATTTATCTCATTAATAATTTGTCTACATTTGACATTTCGGGCTAAGCGAATCAATGCAAAGCGTGTTGAAATTGTTGTTTATACACGTACAAAAAAATCAAATGCATGAGAAATGAATAACAATCAAATATTTAGGGTTTCTATTTGTTTAATTTGTAAATACATTCGAAGGATAGAGAAAGATGAACAGAAGGATGGCAGTATGACACTTTCAGTCATTGTTCATTTGCTTTATGCCTTTTGAACAAATATCATTTTGTCCTAGTTATTTTTCAGTGAACACAAAACTGCATGAGAGTTAAATTAGATATTCTCTATTTGAATAGTTGTTTCTTCTGATGAGATTATAATTTTTAGATTCGATAAACTGTACAAAATATCTCTTAACTGCATCGGTACCACTAACATTATTAATTCCAGTCGAACTCACTTTGGTTTATGTATAGCAGTGAAAATGTAAATGCTTTTCATCTTAGTATGTTATTTGCCGAACGTAACAGTCATTTGAAAGTCTGTAAATTTTCTGTAATATGAAGGATATTTTCTTAAAAAATTAATCAAGATTATTTGTAAAATTGGTACGTTACCACCTCTAGAGGTGTGCTGCCTCACAACCGAGACGGTTGACCTTCGCTGGTCATAGCTTTTCACTAGAAATCTGGGAATTTTCTAACGAAGCTAGTCACTAGTCAGCACATAATAATTGTCATTATACGGTTGTGTAGATTTTTGCCATTACCGATGGAGTTCAGTCGTGTCGGGTGTGAGGCAGTTACCTACAGTAGACAATGGATGAGGTAGCGCATATCGTGGATTGATTGGAGTTGAAGATCAACATCATTGGATTCCGATTCAGTGTATAGAAGTTAATCGTTCGTGTGTGAGACTGAAGGTTTTGAGTTCTACTTCTGTATGTGGGGGTCATGAGTGTTTACTACTGATGAGTTCATACTAGGACGAAACGCCCATCTAGTGCTTCAAGGTTTCTAATCGAGGTCTGACAATAATCGATTCATTATTTCAATGAAATTCAACAATCTTCATAAACCCTGTATTAGCAAAAATAATTTAATTCACGTGTTTGGTATTTTAAAATTAACATGCTTATTCTGAGTTTTTATATTTGACATACTTTGACAACTTAGTTGTTTACAACTATGGTTTATACATTTAATCATGAATGATATTCATTCCGATACAGTAATAATAATGGCAATAATAATAATAATAATAATAATAATAATAATAATAATAATAATAATAATAGGAAGAGAAAGAGCAGGAGAAATAGGAATGATAATAGTTGTATTTGGAGGATTATTTGTTATAATTTTCTGGTCTGAAACAAACAACATTATGAAATTCGAATTTCTAATATGTTGATTTGTTATATGCCCAAAAATATTTTCCAGGCAGAAATTGAAATTTATTTTTTTCCCAGTTACATGATTAGTAACTACTAAACCATAAAGATATTTAAAACGTTTATTTTTTTCTTCTGTAAAACAAATTGTCAATAAAAATTTAAAATGAATTTAATCTTAACATCATCTATATTCGTATGTGTAGATTGTTGGTTAGTTGTAAACTAATTATTTTTCGTTTATTTTTAATAACTCAGCAACTATAATGATCGTGTTTTAATAGACATTTGACAACTTGAGAATCTATCTATGAAAAATGATTGAAATGTTCTCAGTTAGTTGAAATTTCATGAATTCATTTTTCTTTTGAAAAAAATTAAGTTAAGAAGACTTTAAATTTTGAAAAAAGGAGTGAGAGAGATAGGGAGACTGGAGTTGACCACCATTTAAAATGTTAAAATTCATTTTTTCTTTCAAAAAAAGAAATGTAGAAATAACAAACGTTATCGTTCATATGACACCTTTATCTTAATACTTTTTCAATAAAATAAATTTTAAGTGTGTTATTTGTGTATTTTTTTAAACTGATTACATCATGAATTGATTAAATTTGGAAAATATCAGCTCCTAGAATTGAATAAAATAAACAACATGTTCATCACATCTCTTACTTAGTGTAGTTGTCAGCGTGTGTACTGTTCACATCTTGTCAGTAATCACTAGCACACTTATACACTATCATTTAGCTCAAGAGAATTTTTCAATTATAATGAAGGTAAATTTTATAAATATGAATCAAATGCAATTTTGTTGAAAAATTTATCAGGATAATTCCATATTTATCGACAGTGTTTATTGTGCTATTGAGTAGTGACCAGTAGATTGATAATATTATATTTTATTAAATGAATTAATGGAAATGACTTTTAGAAAATATTACAGATGAAGTATGTTTGAGTTTTCGGTTTAGCAGTTGTTTCAGGATAGCAGATAAATCCTAATAGTAAGTATCAACCAGCATAAAATTGAGGTACATAATTTTCTGTTGATCTCCTTCGACTGTCTAACAATATAAAAACTGTGTCGTATGTGAAGCATTTACCTACTGAAGACACTGGTTGATGGTCGCGAAATAACGGGGATTGATTTGAGTTTGACATATCATCGTTGGATGCCAGCTCAATGGCCAAGAGTTAAGCATTCGTTGGCGAAACTGAACATATTTGGTTCAACTCACACTTGCAGGGTCGTGAGTGCGCAATCGTGAGGAGCTCTATACTTAGATGAAACGTCCATGCAGCCCTATCAAGTTTTCATTAGTGGATTTACATTGATCGGTTAATGATTTTAATGAAATTATAAAAGCCTTTTTCTAACTGTACCATCTTCGAACAAATAAGCTAATTTCCTCAAAAAATACACGAGGTTAATCATTCGAACTCCAGAGCAATACATATTTCTTTTCTGTTTATTCATCCCTTTCATAATATATAAACTACTTCTTGAATAATATCTTCTAATTCTAACCTCTCCGATTACTTCTAATACCTTTACTACCTCTTCTACTATTGGATTTGAATTGACAATTACATCTCTGTGCTAATGTGGTATGTAAACATGAACTGATGTACTTACGTACGAAGTTCTACGTTGCATCTGACTGGCTGACTGACTGATGCCGGAGAAACGTTCTATAACAGGTGATACAATGATTAGGTGTTAATACGTGGCAAAGCGCCTTCAGTTAGCATAAGTCCATTAAAATTCAGATGATCAACACCAATACTGAATGATTATGAAACTATTCTTCTATTCAACAAACTTATCATATTTTATATTCTAATTCGATCGTATAAGTTCAATACTCCCATTTGTTAGATCAGCTGAAAGGAATATGTACAATTTTAATAAACAACATGCGTATATTTATTATCGAAATTACGGAACGACCAATTTTAGTTCAGTTTTAGAAACGCTGAAGTACTGGAAGGTCG